GTCTCCATAATCGCTGAAGCCTGATTGCCATTACGAAATTTAACAGCGATTCCAAATTGTTTATATACTTCTCTTTCAGGTGGTGAAAATGATGATGGTAGTTGTAGTGATGTTCGCCGTGTGTTGGTTACCTTATCATCTTTACTTCATAGTGACCGCTTATCACCCAGAAATTAACAACACTGATTATATTCAAGAAACCTACTTGGCGATCTACTGGCTCGCCATGAGCAATTCCATGTACAATCCGATCATCTACTGTTGGATGAATGCCAGGTATGGTATAAGGAACTTTTTTAGTTTTATTTTTAGCGAGATTCTCTCCCACAAAACCCATTTTTTGGATAAAGTCGTGTACCTAAATTCCTGGGATTCACAGAAGGTTCCAAACAATCTATTTTGCTACCTCAAAATCGGTCTTCAGCATCTGTTGGTAATCATATTCGAATTCAGCAGCCAAAGCTTTTTTGTTTAGCATGATTGCTATAATTATATTCTTTTAAAAAACTACAACCTAGTTTACTACCTTGTGGTAGTAAATTAGGTCCAATTAGTACCAAATTACATCATAAAAAACATTTGCGTGTTAAGAACGAGTCTAGGAGGTACTGAGTCAATCTACTTGACATATTTTATATTCCAGGTTTCGTAGAGGTTTCAAGCAGTGTTTTGCTTGTTTTCCCTTTGTGCACTTGACCCCAGAAGGAAGCTTAAACAGAAGAGACGCCAGAACCAGTAAAAAGAAATCTTATTCTGGAGCTATGACGGATTTTTCTAGGATAGGTAGGAATGGTAAGGACTACTTTTGAATTTCGTATATTGTAGAAGCTGCAATATTTTGCAATAAAATTCTTATATGGAGATGATCTATGTATGTTTCAAAATAACAATATTTAAAAACAGCGAAAATGAATCGTAATCCAAGATCGGCAGGGTTATTACGTAAAAAACCTATGTAATGTCAAAAATGTCAACTTGCTGACTAGATACCTTCTGGTATGCAAATAGTTTATTCAGCATGCTTTGTTGGATGTAAAATGCCGGGATAGTCTGTGGAGTATATCTCTGAGAAGATGTTACAGATAGAAAAATGCTTGAGTTCCAGAGTAGCAGGTTCGCATTTGGATTATTGTGTGTATGGGTCTGCATGTGTATAAAATCAAGTGATATTTGCTATGTGAGAAAATCATTAAATGAAGTATATCTATTAGCTGTACCAGACGGGTAATTTATGTTGACCTTTCTGAAGAGAGATTATTATTCAAAGTTAGAAACTACCATTTTCCCAGTCTTTTTGCGTTTTCAAAAACTATGAGAAGTGGAAAATCACCACCGCGCCCGTATTATGTGTAATTGAGCCACACCACAAATTTACATATGTAATTTCCAGGATAAGTAAGTGTATTTGAGACAAGAAACCAAGGGACTCAAATCAAACCCTCACTAAGCACCTATGCACTGCCGTTTCGTCCGATTCCTTCTAGCTATAGTATACAACTTACAGCTTAGACCTCCAATAATGCCTTTTCTGAAGCAGGTGTCACATCACATCAGTGCCAAACAATAATCAAATTCAAGCGGATAACCAAATGGAAGTGGTATTTACCATTTTGGGTTGGTATTTACCGATCCGTTCAAGCGAGTGTAGTTATCAGTTTGGTTATAAGATCCGTGACGTCACGAATCAGCTGTTATATGTCATAGTTATCACCGCAAAATTGTGGTATTTACCCAACTCAAGAGTAGTTTTATATTTCTGGTTATTATTTGAAATGTGACAAGTTAGAATTTTGCCGGGAATTGGATATTGTTATTGTACTTCAGCTTCATTTTTGAGAAAATTGATACAGGCTGACTTCAGTTTTACCATAAAGTGGAGCACCTTATTAGTTATACTCATTATGGTTGTTGGGGACACTTTAAATGTAGTTCCTATGCTTAACAAAGTATCCTGTGTAGCCATATACCACAAGAATATTAAAATATGGCGATATAAACTCACTAGATGATATCCACCTGTATACGGTTTTGCTAATTTCTTTTTTCATCATTTCTGCTGAATCAATAAATTTTTTCTTTGACATGCGGAAAAATTTAGAGAATTGAAAGTTATCATAGCTACAAAGCCATGGTTCCATCATTAAAAAAAATTTTCTGAAAAAAAACATTTCTCTCGTGAATATTATGAAAGGTTTCTTATTTAAACTTTGCATACACCGTTGTAGACAAAAAAGCACGGATTATTAAGTGATAATAAAAATAATCAGAGATTATATATGCACTTTACTAAAATAAACAACTTGCAACAAAACCGCGGTTAAAACCAACGCGTTCAAGCGATTCGTGTAACTGACGTCATCAACCCGTGTGTCATCTTGAACCATATTATAACCGCGGCACATAACACAGAAATTTTGGTTATTCGCTTGGATTTGATTATAGATAGCTTAAGCGCCATGACGTTTAAGCAACACGTACATCTACCCATCGAGTGCACAACAAGTAAACAACAGCTAGTTCCAGGTTGACATCTAACAGGAAAGCCTACATAATATCATAAAAAGCCTATACAGGGTGTTTCAGTTTATTGTTGCATAACTTTAAGATTCGATAGAACTTTTAAAATTAATGCATAAAGTCTATATAAACATGGGTCGAAAAATGCGTGGCTACCGAAATACAGGGTGTTTAAATTTACTTTCTAAAATAGTTTTTTTTAAATATTTCGAACAATATTTGATGTATAACAGTGAAAATTGGTATACAAGGGTTTTTTGGTACGACAAAATGAACCATGGGAATAGTTTTACTGTAGGCGCTGGAGGGCCCTCTCTACTGTACCTGTAATGTATTAAAATGACCTAAAATTTTTTCTTAGTGCAATTTTTTGCTTTTTGAATAAAAAAACTGATTCTTAGCACTTTTCAACATAAAAAAGCTCTCTTGTGAATTTTCGTTATAGTTAGCCGTTTTTGAGATATTTCGATTTTTAAGGTTCGATGCATTTTTAATTATTTATGATAACATAACGTTAAAAAGTCAGTATCTCGATAATTTTTAGAAGTAGGCTGTGCCTGCAAATATTTTTGAAATTGAAAGCAGAATAAGGTTAAACGTCAATTAGTTGACAGTTAGTTTTGTTGTCTGTTGAAACCTGAAACGTTTTTTTGCAATTGTGAATGCACGAAATATAGTTTCTTTTACCTGTTTTTTTTTGTAAGTTTTATATAAATGCGATTTTTATTCTCCAATCAAGAGTTAGCGGATATTCATTTTGTGTATGGCTTTGTAAATGGAAACGCAGCAGAAGCAGCCAGAGAATACGCACGAAGATTTCCACGACATCCAACTCGCTCAGTATTTGTAAGAGTGCATCGCCAAATAATTGAAAATGGTTTTGGAAATCTCCAAAAGGATCAAAACATAAATGTTCGTCAGCGCAGATTTACCCGTATGATTCTGCGTGAGTTTGATAGAGATCCGACCACAAGTGTTAGGAGAGTTTCTGGTGCCTTGGGAATTTCAGCAAGCCATGTTCACCGTGTTCTTAGAAATGACTATAGACGTCCTTAAAATTTGCAACCTGTGCAAGGACTACAGCCAGGGGACGGAGAACAAAGAATCACATTTTGTCAGTGGATTCTTGATAGAACTGATAATAATAGGGAGTTTTTAAGTAACGTTTTATGGACCGATGAGTCATGCTTCACTAGACGTGGAGTGGTAAATTTTCATAATCAACATATTTGGTCGCATGAAAATCTGCATGCAGTTCGGGAAAGAAATTTTCAGCATGAATTTAGTGTGAACGTGTGGATTAATATCTACCGTAATCGACTATTTGGACCCTACCTTTTGCCTGCAAGGTTAAATGCTGCGACCTTCTTGGAATTTTTAAAGGCTGAACATGCAAATATGTGGGATGATGTTATGTTAGATTTAAGAAGATTGGCCTGGTTCCAGCTTGATGGTTGTCCAGCTTATTATTCGAGAATAGTTAGAAACTGGCTGGACGAAAATTATCCAGAAAGATGGATCGGGCGTGGAGGACCAGTCGCCTGGCTTCCACGATCCCCTGACCTAAATCCATTCGATTTCTTTGTGTGGGGATTTCTAAAAGAAAAAGTATACCAGACTCCCGTAACCACAAGAGATATGCTAATAGACAGAATCAGGAATGCATGTGATGAAATAAGGCCTTATTTGAATAATGCTATACCACGTTCGATCATTCGTAGATGTGAATTGTGTATTGAACAATTGGGTTTACATTTTGAGCAACTACTTTAGATTTTGTATGTTTGTCCTAACTACCCAATGGCATTTTAGTTGTAAATAATGAATTTAATTTGTTAAAAATAATATTGGAAAATTAAACAAATTAATATTCTGTTTTTTGTGTTTATTTGGAGTTAGGAATTATTGCTGTGTTTAAAAACACAATCTAAACGATCATCTTAATTACTTGTAATGCCCAAATCAAAAATGTAAAAAAATATTATTTTCCCATAAATAATTAGAAATGCATCGAACCTTAAAAATCGAAATATCTCAAAAACGGCTAGCTATAACGAAAACTCACAGGAGAGCTTTTTTATGTTGAAAAGTGCGAAAAATCAGTTTTTTTATTCAAAAAGCAAAAAATTGGACTAAGAAAAAATTTTCTGTCATTTTTATACACTACAGTTACAGTAGAGAGCGCCCTCTAGCGGCTACAGTAAAACTATGCCCATGATTCGTTTTATCGTACCAAAAAACCCTTGTATACCAATTTTCACTGTTATACATCAAATATTGTTCGAAATATTTAAAAAAAAACTATTTTAGAAAGTAAATTTAAACACCCTGTATTTCGGAAGCCACGCATTTTTCGACCCATGTTTATATAGAATTTATGCATTAATTTTAAAGGTTCTATCGAATCTTAAAGTTTTGCAACAATAAACTGAAACGCCCTGTATAATGTCAAAAAAATGACAATGTCCCTTTGCAAGATACAGTACCCCTGTACGTCTGACCCAGAAGATCAACACAGCCCTTAGAGTCTATCTTTTGTTGAAGACATGTCCTATTTTGGGCGCCTAGACACAATTGTGTACCAGACTACCCGGCATCCAGGCAACGATATATTAGACAAGCTTGTTTTGACTCTAAACCGATGAGGTTTAGCATATGTAAGGTTGACCGATGTAGGTGCAGAGGACTAATTTTTCTTACAACAGAAAATGCATAGACCTTCGTCATATAAATATTTGTGTGTTGATGTTTTGCCATCGCTTTTTTGTTTTGTGGCAGTTTAATATCTATAATCGTATTTTAGGTTCTAATCTCGCTTGGAATAGGAGGTCCAGGTCGCCCTCATTGCATATTTATCACAACAGTAAAATGTGAAAAGTACGTTCTATTAGCATAGCTATACATTTAGCACTTAGCTTTTTAATTTCGACAATTCCACCCATCTTCTGCTTTTACATTAGCTCTGAAATTGTAATGAAATACCGCTTTTCCTTCCAAGCTTTGCTTTTTTATCGATTATTTATACTTACCAATATCAAAAAAATAATTTGCAATTCTGCACTGAAGAAAAAAATTGATTAAACCAGCCATAATATCAATTGCGCCAATTAACAAATTTAATCAACTATGTGACTAACAAGACTAACACGTTTATTTAAGCTCTGATTTCTAGAGATTAGAATTAGATTACTTGAATCTATGAAATCAGTTTAATTAAAACAAAGTGCAATCGCCTAAATTAATTTATTAAACCATTTATTTAGATTCAGTACACCCACTTACGTAAAATCAATGAACTATTAAAATAACTTTGCCTTCTCCAAGTAGAACAATTTAATTATATTAACTATATTTGTTTGATTAGTTTAGCTAAAAGTAATTAGCTAGTTTTAATGAATTATTTTATCTAGATTTAAATGTGTACATGGATAATATATGGCATTTAAAAGAACAAATGGCATTTTACTGAATGATGTATATTAAAACCTTACTCTGACTCATCTTAGATATCAAAAAATTTGGAAAACTTGATATTGATAGTTGATATTTTCGATTCAAAATAAAAGCTTCGAACTTTATAACCCCAACAAAATTCGATTTTTTCATTTTCATTGATATATTTTCCAATTATTTGGCTGATTATCCAGAAACAGTTTATATCACCACCAGTCACTAAAAGCAATTCTTAGTTTTAAACTCAGAAACTGGAGAAAGAGATACCTGAAGCTGCATAAGACCACTTAATCATGTGTAAAAAAATTGTACTTTTATTTCTAATAAATACTACAAAGTCTGCACAACAGAAGGCTCCTATTCCTATATACGATATAAAGGAAAAGCACATAAAGCCTATCGTCGGACATCTGACAATACCTGCTATACGCAGGAACCGTAATTTTACAGGGGACGAAAAAAACCATATCATTTTTATACTACCGGCCTTAAGACTCTACAACTTTGGTCACAAAAAATAAATGAAGTGTAACCCATATTTAATGCGTTTTTATCTAAATGAAGCTCTAATTGACAAAATTAGTGCAGATAGCTGACGTTTCTGCTAACTTTCTTTGGAGTTAGCAGATATTGTACTATGATGCATAGATGTATTTAGTGAGATTCGGGTTAGGAAAACTGTTATCCATTATATCAAATTAAAAGTTTAATGCTTTTACAAATCAAAAAGATAGTAGCATTCTCAATTACACCTTAAATGAACGTTCAGCTTCTTTCCTTGGCATATGGCAAATTGTCGTAAAACATGTGACAGTCCTTAGATATAACACTTATAATCTGAAATGACGGGTAGCTGTTTTTGTCTCATAGGCAACTCCTGAAGTCTAGTTTCATTTCAATTTTTTCATCGGGATTATAACATAGTACTTTGATGTCCATGACTACATTGTCCCTGCCTAGTCTAATTGTTGTGTATCCCTGCACCTCTGTTCGAGAGTAGTCATTGAAGAAGAACTCAATTGGATCACCTCATATGGCTCTGGTTTTGTCCTTGCTTCTTTTGACGCCTTAACATAGTCATTGGTAATTCAATAACTCTATTTCTCAGTTTTCTTTAAATGCAACTGTGTACAGAGTCACATTCCGTTTAGGTGTGTCCTTTGCTGAGATAGTTCTGAGAAATCAGAACGTCGTGTTTCATTGCAAAGTTAAGAAAAATAGCACGCGTAATTGTCAGATAGCTGGAATTGCCGCTCATTGACGAACGTGTTGCCAGTGGTAGGTATTGTTTTGGCTGAATAATTCAAAACTAAATTTTTCTGCAGTTAGCGGACTCTATCACAATGTGAGCTGTAGGTAGACGAAGAAAAAGTGCATATACCTCAAATTGGGCAAAAATGTCAGATAGCAGGTATTGTCAAATGTCCGACGCTATGTTAAGGATATGTTTGCTTTAAATGCCCTTCATTGTCCTAAATATGCCTACATAAATTACATATATTTCAAAGTTATTCCCATTCCGACACGTCAGCAGTGACTCCCCTATACAGAGTGTTTCATTGGGAGCTAGAAATATTTTAACAAAGGCTATGGATCACTAAGCCACGTAAAAAACTCCTATATACTAAATACAACACCGTCTAGGCGTGCTGTAATTTTGAGCATACTTTTAAATGTTGTTGATATCTCAGCTAATTTGCGAAATTTTGAGTTAAAATTTTAATCACTTTCTATTTATCAGTAGACCTAAAACTTGTAAAAGTATGCACAAAATCACAGCACTCCTAATCGGTGTTGCATTTTCTATGTCATTTAGTATATCATCGCTTTGAAGCCTGCGAAATATATTTTTTTGTCAGTTTTTGAAATAATGTATTCATAGTGATCCTCAAACTTTAGTTTATTATCGATATAGTTCAAAGTTGGGACTTTCCTTTACATGGCGTATAAATCTTGCAGTTTTTTTCTAGTAACATACAGGGTGCGGCAGAGAGGACGGACGTTTTTGCCTCCGTCCGAAATAATGAGTCAGTAACGGTTTGGCGCGCTGTATCGCAAACTTGCATCATTGGCCCTTACTTCTTCGAATACCCTAATGGTAGTGATGTTACCGTGAACTCACAGCGCTACGTCGACATGATCACCAACTTCTTTTTTCCTGAATTACGACGGCGACGTGTTCCAATCCGACTTGTGTGGTTCCAGCAGGATGGGGCGACCGCCCACACAGCCCGAGCATCCATGGACGTTATTCGTTGGCCTCCTCGGTCCCCAGATTTATCCATATGCGATTTTTTCTTATGGGGACACCTCAAGGATAGAGTATACGCGAACAAGCCCCTAACTCTGGACGAATGGAAGGGCGAAATTCGCGTGGAAGTCGCCCAAGTTGAGAGAGCGATGTTGGAGAGAGTCTACGCGAACTTCCAAGAACGCCTCCAGCACTGCATCAACGATTTCGGCCACCACATGCCTGATATGATTTTCCACACTTAACTGTCTCAAATGCTATTTCCTTGTCAACCTGATTCCATCAATACATTTGTTTTCGAGTAAAAATTAAGTATTTTATGATTTTTTTAAAACCGTCCATCCTCTCTGCCGCACCCTGTATATACCAAAGCCTTAATATTACCGAGACGTTAGTCTCTGCAAAATAGATAATATCTAAAGTCTTTGAATCTATCGCAAGCAACTTTGAACAATACTTACTGGTGACAGAGCTGTACTTGTTAATTTCTTTTCGATGAACGAAGAGTACGTTTTCATTTTTTTTTTACTTTTTTGCTGTTGTTTAACCACAAATTAGCTTTGTTATTATAAACGTAGTTGTGTCGAAAAAAAAAAAGTTCCAACTTTCAGGTATATATAGGGGAAAAGTAGGTAATATGCCCCAGTTGACAAAATGCCCCACTAGCGTTTCACTGAAACAAGCACACTTTTTCGGCACAATGCGGCATCCGCGCATCGAAGAAAGTCTGCCGGCAACATGGTTTATGTTCCTACACGCGTGCTGTAGCTTGTTAAAAAAATATGGCAAAGGATAGTTTTTCAGTGGTCGGACAATTTGTGGGAAGTTCCAAACAAATTTATATATCGTTAATACTATTTGTTTTATTCCAAACTTATATGCACCATGTTAAAACATATAAAATTGGCTTCATGCTCTGTGTGTGTCAAACAACATAACCTAAAATTCCTTTCTTGCATCAGAGTGGGGCGTTTTAGACACCATATTTTACAATATGCCCCCATGTATGGTTTATAATTCGCCCCACCATTAAAACCGCAAATATTATTCATGGTTCTTATGTTTTCCAGAATATGTCACGAAAATATGAACAGAAGTCACTACGAGCGTCATGGGCAGCTGAAGATTTGGAAGAGGCGATGCAGCAAGTCCGGGGAAAAATTATGGGCATTAACGAGGCTTCCAGACGTTTTGGAATACCATCCAGAACATTGAGAAGACACCTTATAACGGGAAAATCAAAGGTCCCCCTTGGCCGCAACCCTGTATTTTCAGTTGAATATGAAAGAAAACTTGTAGCACATATACAAAAATTGGAAAAAGTTGGTTTTGCACCAGACAGAAATGATGTGAGGGCTTTCCAGTTATCAAAAAAACTTGACATCAAACATACATTTTCTGAAAGGTCGGGATCAGCTGGTAGGGTGTGGTTTTCTGGATTTATGAAAAGAAATCCAGAACTAACTCAAAGAAAATCAGAAGGCTTATCACTTGCACGAGCATATGGAGTAAACAGAAAAGACATTCAATATTTTTATGACCTTTTGGCCAAAATTTACGAAGAAAATGACTTTGCATCTCATCCTGAAGATATATATAACATGGATGAGACAGGGATTCAGGTTAATAACAAGCCAGGAAAAGTAGTGGCAACAAAAGGGGCCAAAGATGTATATACTCTCACAAGTTGTGAAAAAGGTGAAAATGTGACAGTTATAGCATGTTGCAATGCTGGAGGTAATTTCATGCCTCCTACATTAATATATAAGGGAACTTACACTAAGCCCCAGTTTTCTGAAGGGCTTCCACCAGGATCACGGGACCTTATGAATAAAAAATCATCCTATATTAACTCGGACTTGTTCATGCAGTGGTTTGAAGAAGTACTTTTACGACACAAAGGTCCTCGAACGACTTTATTAATATTAGATGGTCACAGTTCGCATAGTAACAATATTCGGGTACTAGAAGTAGCCAAAGAAAATAATGTGATACTGTTATGCCTACCAAGCCACACAACGCAAGGCCTTTTTTAGGCCACTCAAAATGTTTTTTGCACAAGAAGCTAAATCTTGGATGGTACAAAATAGAGAAAAGAAGTTGACGCGCTATGATGTCTCAAAACTGATTGGCAAGGCTTGGGGTAAGGCCGCCACTGTATCCAATGGTGTTTCAGCGTTGAAGTGCTGCGGTATCTATCCATTTGATCCCCATGCTATTGCAGACTATCATTTCTCATTATCAGATTCGCTACAAGAGCAAAATTTAGTTGACATTGACGAAGTCAACAATCAAAGTACAAGAAGTACTGATGAGAGTCTTACAGGAAATACTGCACCAGCAACTGAGATTCTGTCACAGCCAGGAACTTCAGGTCTCCACAGCACTCCAGTCTCCCTACATGATGACGAATCTGTGAATACGCCGCAAAAGCACCCACAAAATGATGCATCCCAACAAGTAGGCATTTGTGATAAAACGCCTGAAGAAGCCATTCCATCTTCTGATGTAAAAGACAAAGGAACGCCTTCCAAAGTTCTAAGTGAAATACATCCAGTGCCCAAACTACCAAAAAATCTGTCCAAAAGGAAACAAACAGCAATCATTCTCACTTCGCCGGAAAATATTGAGAAAAGAACATTACTGGCAAATAAAAGAAAGATTAAAGCTGAAGCTGAGAGTAATAAACTCAAGAAGGCTAAAACAAAAGTGACTAATACGAAGAAAAGGGATGACCTTAGTAGAGTAAAAGGTAAAAAGGTGTTAAAGAAGAAGCCAAAGAAGGATGCGTGGGATTCATCGTCTTCAGATAGCAATGATGAAAATATGGAGACGTTTGAGGAGTCGGAAGAAGAGCTATCTGATAAGGATCCAAACAGATGTGCCGAATGTACTGAAAACTATTACCAAACACAATCTACAGAGGATTGGATCCAATGTCCCACTTGTTCAGCATGGCTGCATGAATTTTGTACAATGTATGCTCCTATGTGTAATCGTTGTGGACGAAAAGCTAAAAGGGCATCTATCCAGAAATGAGTTCCATTCATGCGTATAAACATTATATACCTATGTATTATATTTCAAAGATTCATTTTATCACTTCATCAAACACTAATAGTGTCGAATTATCATTTCATTTTTGTTTGTACAAAAGTAATATTCTAGTTTTATTTCATCAGAAGTGCTGTATCTTACTCTGATATTCATTAAAGTTATTTGAATGTTCATTTTTTCAATTATTGCTTATATCTTCAAATTAATATAATATTGAAGGTAGTGGGGCATTTTGCAACTCGTGCGAGGCGTATTACCTGAGGGTCAGTTGACAAAACGCCCCACTCAAGGTTCTGGAAAATATGCAATCAATATCTGTCTAAACGATTTAGATCAATGTAACATCTGTCTTTACGTTGTAAAAGAGCCAAGCTATGCCCCTGATTAAGATCTTGCCGATATCTTCAAATGTTTTCTTTCAATAGGCCCTTGAAAAAAAGTGGGGCGTATTACCTACTCTTCCCCTACCCAAATATTTACTTGATTGAACTTTTTCAATTATTTCACCATTTATCCTAAATCAGATAGTATTTTCTTTTAAGTATTTCCCCTCCAGCATACATTTTGTTCTAGAAGCATTCAATTTTAGTTGATTTACATTGATGATGTTTGCCGAACCAGAATTAGCATTGCTAAAGCAGTGTATATATTTTCATTTGACATGTATATTGAATTATCATCGGCAAATATCCGAATTTTACAATAATCTGAAGTATCACAAATGTCATAGATGTATAAAATAAATAGTGGTGGGCCTAGTTCACTACCTTGCGGTACACCAACAGAAATATTTTTTGAGCCTGATAATGTAGATCTACTTTTGGTTTTTTGGCTTCTGTCAATTGAGTAGGTTTATAGAATTTTGAATACAGATCCTTCAAAATCCTCTCATTACCACATTTTTTCTTGCATGCAATAGGTGCTTAGGCGATTCGAAAACTTCTCATTAGCGGGAGAAATTTTCCAACTGATTTTTTAGATAAGTACGGGATTCTGGCGTAACAACGGTGAAATGTTGACAAATCGAGCACTCTTTTATAAATATGCAGCATAGTCACCTCGTTTGAGTATCCTAATTCGTATTTATAAAATAAAACAGAGTTACAAGAACAAAAGCCACTCCTTAGAAAAAACAGATTCTGCCGCGGTGGCTGAGATGATACCTCTGCTGGCTGAAATGCTACGTGCCATTTGGATGCGGTTAACCTGCGGTAATTGTCCAGGGAGTATCTTCGCATCTGATCGGAAAAATATTCTGATTAGTTTTTTGCACAATCTTAATAAAATATAAAACCATTTTTTAACGCAATTTTAGATCTGGCAACATGCAGATTCATTAAAAGGGGTCGTTTTTGAATGAGATTATACGAAAAAATCAAAATATTTTTCTAAACAGATGCGAAGATAGTTGTGTACTATCACTACCCAGGTAGTCGGCCGGCATCCCATCCGGAAGTGGGTCCCGTTGGATGTGTACAGGGGATTCACTATGAAGTTGCTGCTGCATGCCTGCATGCAAAATAAAGGAAAGAAATGGTGTTCCGATGCTTCGTTGCCTTGCTAATGATTTTAGGCCAGTATTGTTATTCCAGAATATTTGGAAGTCGTTTTTCCATTCAGGAGCTTAGATCTAGGTGTATTTGACGAAGGAGTTTCGTCTACAATGTATCTATGATTCATGGGTGTAACAGTATCAAAATCGCGATATCACAAAAATATGAAGTGTAGTTTTACTTCTAAAACATTTGTTTTTTGCTTAACTCAGCGTTCTTACAACGTTCTTTTATCTCCTAAAAGTCCCTTATTAAAAATAATTAGAACACGGCCATGGTATTCAGATAGAAGAATCAGTTAAAAACTTAGGTTTGCTATAGATGATTTCTTTCTCATGTAAGTCATGTAACTGAAAGTTGTTTTACTGTTTTACGGCATCTGTACTTAAATAAAGAAATACTTGATTTTAGATCCAACAAATTTTTTTATGAATCTTTAATAATACAGGGTGGCCCATAAGTCCTTTGAGCTGGAAAAAAAGGAATAAAACCAAACTAGTTACATTATGAAGAATTATTATATTTTGTTATCATCTTTATTGAATGGGAATTATGTTTTAAAAATCACATCGTCTAAATGCAATCCATTACGATCAAGGCACTCATATAAACGACGTCTAAAATTGTCGATGACTGCGCGGCAAGCCAACACTGTAATGCTTGCCATTTCTCTTCGGATATTTTCTTTCAGGACATCAACTGATCGCGGACTGGTGTCGTACACTTTACTCTTGAGGTAGCCCCATAAAAAGAAGTCTATTGGGGTCAAATCTGGACTACGTGGTGGCCAGGAAATGTCTCCTCTTCGAGAAATTACTTGGCTGGGAAAAAGTTGACAGACGACGGGCATAGAAGTGTTGGAGGTGTGGGCAGTTGCTCCGTCCTGTTGAAACCAGGTCTGCGTATTATAGCCTGGAAAATTCTGCAACGCTGGTGTCAAAAACTCTTCTATCATTGCTACATACCGCTCCGAAGTAACAGTTAATGCGCGACCTCTGTCGTCCTCAAAAAAATAAGGGCCTACGATGCCATGCGCTGACATAGCAGCCCAAACTGTAACTTTAGGGCTGTGTAAGGGCTTCTGATGCTTACGCCTTAGATTTTCGGGGCTCCAATAACGGAAATTTTGTTTATATACATGCCCGTTTAAATGGAAGTGAGCCTCGTCCGAGAACAACACATTATTGAGCGAAGAAAATCGATTCAACATTTCATTCGCAAAGTTTAGTCTCTGAATAGCGTCATTATCTTTTAATTCCTGCACTAACTGAATTTTGTAAGCGTGCAGACGTAAATCTTTCCTTAAAATCCGCTGTAAAGATGTTCTGGGTACGTTTAGTGCACTGGAACGCTTACGAGTAGACTGGGTAGGATTTTGACGAACAGACTGTGCCACAATGTTGATGTTTTCTTCAATACGAGTTGTCCTTGGTCGACCCCACCGCTGTTTATCTAACGTCGAACCAGTCTCTTCGAACTTAGCAACCCAGTTCTTAATCGTTTGAGCTGTTGGACACTTTGTAAAATTGTGTAAATTGTGGTATTCTCGATATTTACGCCGCACAATGGTTGCCGAATCATTATTTTGATAAAACGCGCGCACACAAAAAGCACGATCCGCTCCAGTGAAACACTCCATGGCGACTGAATTCCCAGACACTGAAGATACTGCCTCCACCTCGCCCGCGCCGCTCACGCTCACCCATTAAATTTTATTCAAATTTGAAATTTCAAAGGAATTATGGACCACCCTGTACAAAAAAACACATATTGTGATTTAGTTGTTATACTATCCATTTCTAGATTCAGTTTCTGCTAAGCGTCTACAAAAAATTCAAAATTCATATTGTAGATTGATTTTCAACTTAAGAAAATATGATCATGTTTCGAATAGCTGAACTGGTTGAATGTGGCAAAATTGTACAAGCTTCATTTATTATGCTATGTTCACAAGCTCCTATATACTTCGATTCCTTCATTTTTTAGAAATAAATTAACATCTCGTGAATATATCATTATTATTCCATAAATGCTTTTACCTATAATGCCATCAATCTATATAATGTATTACCATCGTCGGCTAGGCATCTTGATTTCAATAATTTCTAAAAGCAAATTAAACAAATCGTTTTTGATGCTCAAATCTGAAACCTTCTGGATATCATATAAATCGTTTATAGTTTTTTTCTTTCTTTTTAAACATATGTACGTTGTATTCAACATGTAACTTTTATTTAAATTTTGGAAGAATTTTTTGTTAAAATTGTTATCAATATTCTAGTGCTACTTATTTTCAAGCGTTAAGTGGTAGCTTGTAGCTAAACTTCGCCTGAATAAAAGTCGTTTATTATTATTATTATTGTTACATCCATTTTGAAACTTGTGACCATACTATTTTCCAAGTTTTGACAAAATCGGCACAGCGGTTACTGAGGTTACGTAATGACAAAGAAGACAGTACGACAGGTGAATCATCGCATTCATCATTAAGCAAAGGATATTTGTCATCCATTGTCCATTACATAAAAGCAATAATGACATGAATCACTCTGTATAAATACAATGAGTCGATGCCATTACAAACAATTATTTGACAACCTATTCCGTACGTGCGCCAAAGTACGATGGCAGTACCCTTTATAAAGCAATAGTGCAGGCCTCTTCAAGCGAGGCACCAAAAAAAAAGATCCGACTTCTTGGCATCTTCAGAAGCCAGAAGATCAAAAGCTTCTTCGCGAGTGGCTTTTCTACTGGTAACTTGCTATTCCTGGGTATTTATAATGATCATCTTTATTCAAGTTATCATCTTTCAATGACATAGAATGCGTCAAATGAGGAAACTAACAAAGAAAAATTACATGCAATCACATAGAGGTCAAATTCGGATTGCTTTACAAAATAAACGTTTTATATATGTAAATAGAAACATGACAGAAATTAAAGGAACCAACAATAAATAATAACACACACTGCAACACACTGAACATGTAGGTATAACAAGATAAAACCATATACATAACAAACACTATCTAACAATTATTGGTGTCAGAGGTTCATTAACAGAATAATATGCTTTTTTAAGAAGCATCTTTTTTTAATTTTTTGCTTGCATAATTGTATAATCTGCTCAGTTAATTTATTCTAGAGCTTTATGCCCATGTAGTTAGGATAATTTTCCGTTTTGGCAAGCCAATTGCAGTGTAAAAGCATTCCTAGTATTATAGCTGTGATTATCGGGTAGACTGCGAACGGTTGTCAATTTTGATTTGACATGTATCAATAGCTCATAAATATAGAAACATGTTAATGTTGAAATTCCCATCTCTTTAAAAATCCCTCTACAACTACTCAACCTCTTTACCCCTACCATCAGTCTTATAATCTTCTTTTGAATATTAAAAACCCTATTTGCTAGATACGAGGGATGTCTTTTAAGTTTCGCATATGGAAATAAAACAACACGGTAGGTAGTTTTAAATGACTTTATTATTTTTCGAAGTATTCTCCACGAAGATTAATTCACATCTGCATGCGCTCGAACCAATTTTTGAAGCACTTATTCCACTCGTTTGCTGGCAGATCCAAAACGGCATTTTTGAAT